ACGATCAAATTTCAATTTATACATTTGTACCGGTCATTTTATACAATTCGTAATCCGTCGTAAAATTACCATTGAAATCGATTGACAACATACGGCGTAATAGGTATACCTAAGTAAGTACAATTGTTGCAGACTATTCTGACCTCCTTCGAAATTAAACACTCGAGTTCGGAAAACGGGTTTCGTATTAAACTGCTGCGAGAACCGACAACAGCGTGCTCGTATGTCAAAGCGTAGTTAAATATTGCTGACTTTTCCGGGTAAAAAGTAAAGAAATTCGAACATAAAAGTATCTAGTCGCGTGAATAAAAGAAATGTCGTAGGGGGGAGTGGGTGAGGCGGTGGAGATATGTCTACCAAATCTTGCCCCTACTAAAATGCGCGACTACAAAACGTTATAAACAATATTAACTATCTCAATATTACATTCTCGACCCGAAGCGAAAAACAGAATAATTATTCAAACGGCGTTTGTCGGGCGCCTTTGATTCGTTCGCAGACGTAGGTACACGCACCTATTAATAATTATTATTCTATTCGTTACACTCGTTTATAATATTATAACAGCACGACAAATTATATTATTATGGCCGTCGATCAAAGTATAGCTTTAACAGCGAGTGAGATGTTATGTAGGTAACAGTATAGTTTGTTGTTTTTTTTTTTTTTTGTTTTTTTTTCGTAATTTGTTAACCGTCGTTCACGTGATGGTGTATAATAAACGCGATGGACATAAAACGTAATCACCTCGGATCAAACGAAGGTCAAAACGTATTTTTACAATATAAACGCCGTGTTATATTATTATATATTTATATATGTATGTATTATATTATTCCCGGTCGAATCACACTGGTGTGTACCCGTACACGGTGTACCTAACGCGGGCGATTTTCGATTTCTCGTAATGTCAAAGCGATTATACTGTATTTGATTTTATGGTTTAAAAGATCTGAAAACGAGCATATAGACAAGTAGCTATTAGGTTTACAACGATGCGGTTTTTTTTTCTCCTCGAAAAACGCTGTTACCGTCAGCGAAAATGCTCTGATTTGTCCGTGTCACGCCTTAAAAGATGCGGATTTGTCGCCTCGTGGCAATTTATTCGAGCGATTTTTTCGAAATTGCCGATACTTGATCGAACAAATTTGCCTTTTGTGTTTCTTTTTTTTTTTTTTTTAAACCGTCTCATATTGTTCAAGTAAATATCTACTTCAATTTTTTCACGCACTTTACCTCAAAATATGAAGCTTTTCTGTCCTTTAAACGAAATATTCATAGATATTCTCAGTATTTCACCGCCTTTGTCCTTTATTAGTTTGATTTTTGTTGGCAACAAGGGAAAGTTTCCGTTAACAATGGTTTGTCGGTTAGTGGTTTATAAAAATTGGAAATTATTTCATATGTCCTTCCTACTTCTCTCCTAAAATAATAGCACATTCAAAAGTTATATGAACCTTTTTGTAAAATACGTATAACAATAGGACACTCACCTAAAATAGAGAACGGGTAGAAAACCGTAATACAGGGCAACATGGGTCAATGAGTGTCAATATATTTAAAAAAAAAAAAATTTGATTAAAACTCTGACAGCCATAATTATGACGGCAATAGGTCTGCTGAGTTGACTTTTGGTTTTAAGGAGAATGGACAATTTTTGAAAATTTTATAGCAGAGGGGTTACGAATTTGTTAGCTAAGGATTATTTTCAGAGGGATTGGTCTAAAGTACATTCATCAATACAATACAATTAATAGATAAACGACAAGTATAATATTATAGATTGCAAGAACAAACAAATAATTATACGATTTATAATGACAAATCCATTATTTTTAGCTTTAAAGCCATTTCATTCTGACGCACTCCGGATCTGCCGGCACTATAATACCGCGGACTGCCAGCACAGCCGATCCGTTAAATCGATACAGAGTTTCGGAACAGGCCAATAACATCGGTGTAATGAACACACTGTTTAGTTATTACGTACGCAATGTTAGCATTGTCCTATATGTATAGCGTGTAACAGCATCGTATAATTTTCATTTATAAAAATACAACCCCGTGTACATCGTGTTCCGCGCGTGTGTTTTGATCGTGTTTAAAGTATTTATTGAGAATATGCGTTCAGGCGTGTGTTATTATACGGTGTACAGTATGGCCGATACGGGTAACGCGAATAATACTTTTATAATAATAACAATAAAAAAAAAATAACGAAAAACACCGAGGGGTGGATTCGGCGGCCAGATCCCGTTCCGCCGGGCCTAATAGCCTAAACAGCGTCATTTCAAAACCAAAACGGGCGAATGTCGTCCGCCACTAAATACATTATAACGCGATTCTATACGTTTTTTTATACGTTTTACAAACGCCCGACACAGTATCGTAATTATTGTACACCGTAGTGATCAACAGTGTTGTTGTTGTTTTTTTTTTTCCTCTGTTTTGTTTTCGTATTTAATTTTCGCGCTCAGACGCTCGTACTTAATATTTCCGGGCGGACCGCCGTACGTACACGACCGCAGCGGAACGACGGGAGAGGGGTAAACGGGCGCCGCCGCGGTACGACGCATACGAATAATAATTTGCGTGTGATACGGTTTATAATTACACGCACGCACGCACGCACGCACGCACGCACGCATTATAGAGCCGTGTCCCACCTGTCGGGACGTCGGGTAAAAGAGGGGTGCTCGGAGCGCGGGCGGCCGTCATAGCGTACAATAACGTAATGTTATGATATTACACTGCATACGTCACACACACACACACACACACACGCGCGTCCACCCGGTACAATAGTAATAACGGCGATATAATATTATTGCGTATTGTGTTATGCGTTCTCGTGCGCCGCAATGTCGTCCGCGTAACGAATATTTACATAACGTTATCGTTGTAGACCCGCGTGTACCTAGGCGTGGTACGCGTACGATACGAATACGAGCGCGCGTATATCGGGTGTTATAGGTGTTATAGGTGTATACCCGTCCGTTTGGCCGGCCCGACGACGACTACGCGATTTACGCTATCTGTGCGCGGGGGGACAGTGTCGGTGAGCAGCCGAGCAGCCGCTCCGTCACTACGGCACAATTATTATACCGTTTATCTCCTACATAATATTTTTTACACCGGACACTGGGTAATGCATAACGGTACCACATAATTCGACTGCATAATAATAGTATACTGCTTCGACGAAAACAAAAAAAAAAAAACCAAGTGCGACCGAACGTTTAGTGAAAATTGCCGGGCTCTACGATAATATTTCAAACTGGATTAAATAAAAAAAAAAAACAAAAATTAAATCGAAAACAACAGAAACCGTCAATGCCGAAAAATCGTTCCGGTTATTCGAAATATCGTTAAAAATTAACTACCACAAAAATCCAAAGACCTCCTCGGCACATTAATTAGACAATATTTTCGCCAGGAAACGACCCCTAACGTTGATAATTGGGTGAAATGTCTGCGTTAACTTCATTAACAGACACACCAAACGAATATCCGTTCTTCCCGCTACGCTCTGAATTTAAAAAAGAAAAAGCAAAAACCGCTCGAAATCCTTAACGACTTTGCGATACTGTTGTATGTGGTACCAGGTCATATACGAATCGATAAATTGGATAAATTAAAATTACGAGGTAAACAAACTCGAATCAGACGTTGCCTTTGCATGATAGAAAATTATAAATATTAACTACTCGAAATACCCTACAAAAAATAGTATCAGAAATATGACCCGAAAAGCCGTGCGAATTGAAAGCAACGGTTTTATTGCTGATTGACGTATCTTTCCTGCTTCTCATATTATATTATTGGACCGTTAGAAGAATAGAAAAAAAGATCGGACCCTTATAACATTCGAATTCTCCAATTATGACGGTTTGCTGCGCGTTCACCTATACCTGTAATAAATATTTCGTCTATTGTATTGTTTATTCGTTTTACCGTTTGCGTTTAAATACTTGCCCGAATGAAAAAGTGGAAAAAATTTTATCTCACATTATACGGTTTATATTTTTTTTTACGGGGCGATTAATATTATTATAGGTTTATACGTCACGTTCAATGATCGTAGCAACTGGTCGCGATTCTTATCTTTTATATAATATTTATGCATTCCGAGAGCGTTTGTTACATTGAAGATAATAATAAAAAAAAAAAAAAAAATACACATAATACAGAGTGATTCACGGAGATCTGACGAATGTATACGAACGCGATAACTTCCGCTCTGTTCAATATTTGTTGTGATTATAACACTAGAGAATAGCGTCATGGTTTTTACAATTGATGTACTTTTTACAAAATCCGAAGTAGCCATTTTTTTTACATTAAACGCGAACCTAAATGTTGGCGTTAAAAATGTTCCTTAATGATGAGTCATTGACTGTCTATCACTATCTACTAAACGTAGTCTAAATTGATTTTTACATGATAAGGTGTGTATTGTAGAACGCGATAATATTTTTCTGTTATTATTATTTCATTAATTGTATCCGAATTTATTTAGTGGTAACTACGAAACATATTCGAATGTTTGAAAATATCGACAATTTTAGAAATTTAACGAATTAATAATACTTGCCTATTAAACATTTATAACCAATCTTGGATTTCGTAAAAAAAAAAAAAAAAAAAAAAATACAATAGGTCGCTGACGGTTGAACCACTACAAGTGAGCAGTTATAAGTAGGCAGGGCATTCAGTGTGATTTAGTTTACATACTGTACCGTCATCGGGCGAAAAATCCGCATCTTTTAAGGTAGGCGTGATACGAAAAAAATCGAGAACGTTTCTATTAACCGTACGTAGTCGGTGCAATTTTACGCGAAAAGAAAAACGCACGTCTTGACAAAAAATAAACTAACAGCTTCTTTGCTGTACACTCGCAATCCTGCAATATAAACTGTACGACTCGTTATTGCCGGGAAACCCTCTTCAACATATTATTTAACAGTATAGTATTACGATAGTTGTCGCGTATAATTGTGACCGGTCTCCGTGAATCGCCCTGTATGTATTTAATATTTATAAATAATATGTGTGTGTAATATGTATGTGCGTGTGTTGTTACAGTCCATTGTCCGTGAATATATATGAAAAAAAAAAAAAAATACAAATCGCACGCGCTTACGAGTTTTATATTATACGTACGCGTGTATATAGGGAGGACGAGCACAAATTTTATATCGATTTCCCTTCCCCCGACAACGCGCGCCGCCGCCGCCGCCTTTGCGACCGTGTCCGGTTTATCACATTATTACCGTCTGCCACTGCTATAATAATATAGTAATATTCTAGTGAAATCGTACGGCAAAAAAAACAAAAATAATAATAATAAACGGCAATAAAGAGACGAGAAAAATTGGCACCCGATCAAGTGCAGAACGCGGACGAACCTTGGGGTTAAAGACAGCAGCAGCAGCGGTGCTATAGAACGGAGTTTTATATTGTCGTTTTTTTTTTTTGTTTTTTTTTTTTTCAGAATTATATTATATTGTTCTCCCGTCGTCGTCCGAATGTGCGCCCGATAAATCAACGAGTTCATTAACTCTGACCTGTTTTTTTTTTCTTTTTTTATATTTTTTGCATAACCCGCGCGCGCGATGACTGTACGTTTTTTTTTTTTTTTTTTTTCTTATTATTCTATTCTATACACAATATACGTAGGTAGGTACATATTATTTTATTTTTTATTTTTTTTTTTTTTAACCACGTGTGGCCGTACATTATAATATTACTTTGATATTCCCGGAAAATATTACAATATTGTTTAACAACACGTATAATATTATCGTTGTGAAAACGAGGAGGCGGTAAGTATAATATACGCGCGTTTACTGTTTCTGCGGTCTTAATAACGGGCGACCTATTATAATAATACAGGTTGCGAAATTAGATAACTCATCGTTTGCTGCGTTTATGGTCTGAAATTAAATTCGAAAACGTCGTACTAACAACATTTCAGAAGCGAAGAACATTTTCGAAGACAGTTACGTTTTTTTTTTTCTAAAAAGAAAAATTCGTCGTTCAACAGAGCCGATCGCTTATCAAGCGAAACAAATAATACGGCCTTCACTGCCTCCGAAAATATTCCGCTTTTTAAATTTCGTTGTTTGTGCCCAACACTCTATACAACGTCAACCTAAACGCCACAGCATAACAGGTTTTCAGTAACGTAATTTCGCCAAGTTTGTCAGTTAGCAGGCTTTTAAAAACTATTTTCAGATCAAATACAGATATTATATTTTCTAAAAAATGTTATTCGAATACTTCGCTTAAAAAATATTTGAATTCTATCTTACGTTTTGTAAATCCCGCAGCATTATTTAGAAGTGGGTGGATGGGTAAGGATAAGTGCTCGATCGTTTGAAACATTTTAAAATAACTATTATAATATTGAAAACGGTTAATCGTTTTGTCTGTTTGTTTTTTTTTTTTTTTTTAACATGGGTATAATTCGAAAGTAGACAAAACGAGAGAAAATAGACTGAGGCAGTTTGAGCGTGTCATAAGGAAAGGGGATTCAGAAGCAGTAAAAATATTGTAACGCAAATAAACGTAGGAGGAAAGAGGAGGAGGGGACAACCGAATAAAATACCGTCGGATGCGGTTGAGAATGATACGATGACGGAGTCGGGGATCGGGTCGAGTGGAAATTCAGTACGGGACGAACGCGGAGGAGAAGGAGTGGGCACGTGTATATTTTACGACCGAAATTTGAGACACCTCTGAGTGCGAATACAAATATACAATTGAAGAGAATTTATTCAATTTTTCGAACAATGTATTTTGATGTATAATACTACATTCCATATGTAGAGTCACTAATATTCGGTGGTTTTTTTTCTTTTAAATACCGGTTTAATATCTGTACGAGTTAAAATTTCGAATCCATTTAAATTTCGACACGGTGTTACACGACACGAAAATTTGAAATCAAGTTTTAACATAATAAAAGCATTTAAAATGAGTTTTCGATATCAAATACAAGTCGTTTTCGCATATACAGAGTGTCCCACAGTGTTATCCATATTATATTATACTTATAATACTCTTCATTTTTTTTTTTTTCAATTAAGTTTTATGTCGGGGCAGGGGACACAAATGCAGAGAAAAATTAAACTGTTATTCTCATCCCTAAATCAAAGTAAATATAATACGTTTTTATTGTTTCACTTTTTAAAATATTCAAAATAGCCAATTTGTAAAATATAATATTCTAATACCGTTGATGTATCATACACGATCAATAGTTTCTGATAACAAATAACCGTTTTAATATTTAGAGAAATGCGTGAAATACGAGACTACCACGGTAACGAATCACAGTCGTGCAATGCAATATGAGAAATGTTGAAACGATGAAATTAAAACAGTTAATGACCGTTTTATAGTGATACTGAGAAACTATCGATTTAAAACAGTAGTGTTTAATGCGCGTATTCGAATACCGAGTTGAAATTAAAACGTCATTTTTTTTTTTTCAGAATAATTTGTTACGAACCGGGAAAAAACGTGCAGGATTAAACCAGGAAAATGTACGCACGCGTATAAAAGATGCTCCGCTCCGAATCGTTTTTCGTCAGCAATCGTGTTTAATCGCTGCGCGTACAACAGACACACAAACCGAATTACCCATCTGATACGTCCTATACACGCATACCTCCCCGGCTTCTCGCCCACAACATCGCGCGAAGTACGTCCGTCTTTTTGAATGTGTACTATTTCACGCGGTTCGTTCGTCGATCGCGCGCTGCACGTTCCGACAGTCGGGCGGCGCGCTATTAAATTCACGCGGCCCCGGTTGTTGTTCGTTTCCCGTCAAACGTTATTGATAAACGTTACGAGACGTTAATTTGCTGTACACAATATTATTATTAATGCATCCATGTATACGAAATATTTGGAATACGTTTTACGGGCCCGCTTTATAATCGCCGCCGCCGCCGCGTTATTAGAATAATTTAATATCCAGTCGTGTGCGCCGTTTGATGTTTTATATTAGTAATACACGTATATACATACGTATGTTACTATATAAAACAAGTACGAGACGATGACGACGATCATTGTCGTGTCGGCGCACATTACCGAGGTATAACGTAATTACACAGAGAAAGAGGCGGATAAAAAGAAAAATAGATCCCCCTCGTGACCTTTTTTTTTTTATTTTTATTTTTGATCGTTATTATTATTATTTTTTTTTTTTTTTTACGCATTCCGTTAGTCGTTAGACACGGTTAGGCACATCGGTAACGATTTTAAACAACGCCGCTCGGTCGCGTACATATTGTTATAACGTATAACGCGTTTATAGTGTCTGAAGGCATTACCGCATTATACGTAGGTACGATCGTTCGAAAAACACTGTTTTATATACGATATCACAAAACACCGTCTGACTAAATGTGTAATTATCGGTTTGAGTGTGTTCGGACGAACCTCTCGGACCGTATTCAAGGGATATTACATTCGACGAACGTCGAGAAAAAATAAATATTTTTTTTTTTTGTGTGTCTTAAGGACAACAGTATAAAGTTTATTTGAGTACAGGCCTTTGAATATCGTGCGTCCGCCATAGAAAACAAACGGTAAACGGTCGAATCGACTGACGAAATGAGAAAAATCCGAAAGTCGGGTTTTTTCGTCCATCCGCTCGCGGAACACGGTTTTTTAAAAGGAGCGGGAGACGGCGGTGAATATTCAATAAAAATAAAAAAAATGTCCCGGTTTATAACGCGTATACCGCCGCCATCATTGTAATTCATAGGACGCAGGACCCTCCGACTTTGTCCCGGCGGTTCCTAATAAAATCGGTACCTCCTGTTTTTCGTCGCGAATATAAACGCTTAAAAAAAAAAAAAAAAAAACTATTGTTCGTGCTAAACGGAAAACGCTCTTTACTTATTGTTCACGATACGTTTTCGCGAACTCTGTATTGTCCCCGCCGATAATAATCGATACGATATCACTTCGGCGTCACACTCGTTTTAGAAATCGCGCCCGTAGTATACTCGTAATAATTATCGACCTCGTAATAATGGACTGGGTGTGAAGTATCAACGGCCCGTTACTCCAAAACTGGAAAAAAAAGTTACTGGTTTTTGAGAATAAAATACTGAGGAAGATATGTAGCCCAGTGTTTGATATTGAGGTAAACGCATGGCGCAGAAGAAAAAAAATATTGAACTGAGGGAAATCACTAAAGTTCTATTGTGAACAAGCTACACATTAAATGCCAGAGACTACAGTGGTTTGACGGTCATACTATGCGCAAAGCGGAAAATACGAGTATAAGAGCAGCGAATCGAATGGCAACCGACGGAGAAAAGGCCTAGGGGAAGACCCGGGATGGAATGGATGGAATAATATAAAGGATCTAGAAACACTGGAAGTGCCGGATCGGGGAAAATAGGGTCCGGGACCGCAATGATTGGAGAGCGGTGACGGTGGCGGCCGAAATTCTTTTACGGAATTGTAGAGCCAAAGAAAAAGATGAATAATAATCGACTATTGTTGAACGTACCGGCGTGTCAGCGCGCGTATTGATAAAAATATTGACGGTGAAACGTTACACAGTGACCGCATTAATACAGTCTGTAACGCGGAAGAAAAGTGTTTTTTTTTTTTTACGGTGGCGGCGGCGAATTTTTCGATGTTTCCGGCGGTTTTAATAATAAATGGGAAAAATGGAAAAAACCAGCGAAAAACTTCGGAAAATCGGAAAATAATTAAAATTATATTCAACAAATATCATTAGAGAAAATACAGAATGCATATTACGTAATTATTTTATCATAATATATTGTTGACAAAGCAACACTATTAACCGAACTTTGCTCAGAATCGTTTTTTCGTTAGCAATGGTTAATCGTTGCTTACAGATTGAATACATTGAATTACCGGTAATAGTCGTGACTGTACATGTCCCCATTATCTCACAATGTCACCTACAACAGTCAACAACTACCCATAGTGCGACGTATACTTATCCGTTTTTATTTATTTTTTTTTTTTTTTTTTTTTTTTTACATGGTCGAAACGCGCAATACAATTTCTGTTATTGTATACTCGTAATGCTATTATGACGTTCCGATGACTATTTATGGTCTCGAAGAGAAAACAAACAATACGTATTATACGCGACAGTTTTAAACTCAGTGTATACCGTCCGCATATACGGTAAGTACTTTTAAAACGTGCAGTTAACGACGTCCTCCTTTCCTCCCTCCCCTGTTTGACTGTGAACAATTTAAAATACCATAATTATTTATTTTTTAACAATCAGGACGAAAAAAAAAAAAAAAATTAATAAACATCTATTTACAAAACTTGTACAATTTTCGGGTAAAACTATTTAAATACAAATTTATTCAGTATTTTCAGTATTCAAACTCGTATTTTAAACACACTTATCACTTTTACAATTGTTTTCCTTAATTGAAATTCAAGCGCATTGCATTACTTCATTTAAGTTAATTGGATTCGAAATGTTAACTTGTTAACTTAACAAATGGTATTAAACAACAACAACAGAAAGACAATCTAATATTAACTATTCATCATATAAGATGATATGTGAAAAAAAAATATGTTTTTGAAAGTACCTATTTATAAATACTTTTCAAACATTTAGGTATTTGTACTCGTTCTTGAGTATATTTTTAGTGAAGTACTCAAATATGTATTCTGAATAGATTTTGAAATACTACAAAATCGTATAAAAAATTTGGCGGTAAAACACGTTGAAAATAGTCTTCGCAATATTAAATAATTGCAATACACACTGCTGTCGACCGAGTTATGCTACACTTAATAATATAATTGTTTTATAAATTATTAATTATCATTATAAATCGTCATTGTATAGGTGTAACACGGGAAGCGGGTAAATTTATATATTTTATTTGTTGTTTTTTTTTTTTTTTTTTATATAAATTCCAGCAATTCGCCGAGTTCAACGGCGGAGTTAATCCCGTGGCACGGGTATACGGCGGAAAGTTAAAAACCACTCCGAGCGTAATCAGATGCAGGGAGATCGCCCGAGACCCCGCAAGACCTTTACAGTGCTATAATATAATATATTGACTCTGCAAAAGCCCGTACATTTTATCTGTTCGTACCATATTACAATGAGCGGTGGCGCTAGAATATTTCCTTATCGGATAACAGATTGAGTTATTATTTTACTATCTAATGTTCATATAAAAAACATCTCAAGGTTTAAACAACACAAAACAGACAATATAATATCACATTAAGTATCGCGTTAAATTGAACTCGATTAAATATCTACGTCCAGAGAATCCGACCCGGCCACTGCTTATAACTATCCGTTTAAATAGTACCCTCACTATTTAAACGGATAGTTTTTTGTCACCGTTTAAAACGAAATGTTTTCGTTTCATATTTACTTTTAACCGATTGGCGAAACGGCTGTTTCTCAATTTTCGTTTAAAACATAGTATTTTATCGGGCGTACGAGTGCTGGATACATGAATTTAACTAAATCTGCGCGTATCCGAGTCGGTTCAGCGATCAAAAACCCACGCTAGTCGGGTCCCGGGTTTGTGCAGATGGTACTGTATACTAGCTATAGTAACTCTTTTTTCGTGAACATCAACTGATTGATTCCCCGCAGGGCTGAAGTCGATTTTCGAATTTTTTTTTCTTCCGATTTTGTCTACCGGAATTTCGTTTTCTATCGTGTTCGGTCTAAATGGTACGCGCGTGGGTATTTTCAGAATTTAATTTGCCCGAATCGAAAACTATATGTATACAAAATCGACTCAAGTCCTTTTTCCCCCGGGACCGAAGATAATCGCATCATAATATTAATGATTTGATAGAAGACAATAATAATTAATGTCGCGTCGTCAGTCACATCTCGAATAATTTCCAAATAAACAATAATAATAATATTAATTGAATTTTCTTTTTAAGCGACCAATTTTTTTACTATCGCCTCGCAGTCTAGACTCTCGGCTATTATATGGCACTTATATACGTCACAGCAATTATAGAATTAGATCGCTGATTTTGCGTCTTATATAATTTTGGCATCAATAGTATAATATATAGAGTCTAATAGTCTATACCAGTGGTTCCTAACATTTTTTAAAGTTTTCTGGTAAAAAAAAAAAAATAAACATCTTTGTAGAACTATAAGTATTTCTTTACTCTACTCAGAATTTAAAATCAACACTGATTATCAATGATACTTAAAACGTTTTTTTTTTTTTTTTAAAAAGATTCAATTTTAAATTAACAAAATAAAAAAAAAAATACAATAAATTGGAAATACTTTTTATGAGTTACGGTGCTCCTGGAAAGTACTCGAAATGCTCTAAGAGCACCGCGATGCACAGTTTGGAAACAGCTGGTTTATACTATTGATGCTGAAATTCTATACTGTAGACGATAAAATACTATACTATAGACGGTATGAGTACATACTGAAAACAAAAGAGTTCTGCGGATAAGTCGACGGACATAAAATTATACTTTGAAGTAAATATTACAATCGGTACGGTTCGGTTACTATACTTACTGTATTAAAAAAAAAAAAAAACCATGTGTAGCACAACTAATATAACACAATGTAATATATATATATATATGTATACGATTAATTTTTACCATTATACAAAAGCAGCGAAACTTCAAAAATTACGTTGGACGCGTTCCAAATAACAACAACGGTCGGCCAAATCGACAAACGGTATGCGTGTAATAATAATAAAGATCGTAATAATGTACAGGCCCGAAAACTTTGTCCGTTTAATAAAACTCTATATTTTAAGACGCCTCGACAAATTTATGCGTTCGGAATGAAAAAGTATAAAGAATTGTATTAATAATTTATTGAACAAAAAAAAATTTAAAAAACATCACGCGAAAACCCGCCTACGGATATAATATTGTATACAAAAATATAATCCGAAGGGCCGAACAAATCGTTCAACAATTAATAGTTATTCAACCGCAGTCTGGGGACGTGTAAACGTCACGACGGAGTAAGATTTATAAAAACAATAAAACGGTCTGTTTAACTTGAAAAACTACGTTGAAATATCGAAATAATTTTGATATTCTTCCGCCGATGCCCAATACAACTGATTATTGACAGTTTAAATTTACCATTTGTATTACTAAACATAAAAATGTCTGTACAAAATCGTCGTACATAATTTTTCGTAGATTCATTACATTTCAAGAAAGTTTACGAATTATAAACTATTTGGCCTTTTTTTTCTCATAGTTATTTTAATATAATTGCCGAAAAGTTAGGTTAGGTTAGGTCACACGATCGTATAAAACGTATAGAAGTCATAAAAAAATTAAATTTATTAAAAATATCATCGGATGCACTGTTTAATTGGATTTGTGTAACTTATTTAAAAACAAATATCATAGGTATGTTGTATGAGGACGTGCTGATAAGTAATACTTATTAACGTGTAACTTTAAAGCTTAAAATAATTATTTTTCAACGCAACTGCCTTCTAAGGCGATGCATTTTTGCAAACGGATTTACTAGTTTAGAAATGCCGTTCAAATAAAATCCTACAGTTTGAGCGTCGGACCATCAGTTTAACTTCAACTTTTACTTTCTCGTCGGAATTGAATTGTTTACCCTTGCGATGTTCTTTGAGCTTGAGAAATAAATACAAATCGCATGGAGCCAAATCTGGGCCATAAGGCGGACGTGGAATGCCTTGAAATCCTAGTGGTTCGTTTGCTGTTTGAACCGCAAATATGAAGGGGCCGTCATTACAAATTGCATAAATAATAAAATAACAATATTACACGACCGCGTTCTCGCACACACTAAACCGGCGACATAAACTATTAGATGTGCATCAAATGAAAATTTTATCGTAAATCTATAAATGATTACGAGATAAGAGGCATTGCTCAACAGCCCGTCCTCGTGTAGATCGTATTAACGTCGATTTTCGAGCGGCGGGAAGCCTTTTTCCGCGATCTTTAACAACTTGTGAGTAGGTAAAGTCCCGAGCTCACTGTATACAGAAAAGAGGTCGGCGAAAATCCATGGTCGGATAACCGCTGCGGATAATACTGCGGTTTTGATGTTAAAAAAACAAAAGAAAACCCGCCCAATCGATTTCCCTATAAATAAAATTTACCCGAAATTTACCCGCGGGTATGCCGATGGCGCTGTGATATCGTAAACATTCGTCACGCGTATGTTGAACTTTGCAGCCGGCAAGGATATCGAGTCGTGTTTGCGCTGTTCGGACAGGCATTTATAATAATATCGTGTGTAGATAGGTCGGCGGGAATATTATTGTGTATAATAATAATGGGCAGGTACTTTAACCTTTACACGCGAATTCGAATAGTTTTCCGTTTCGGTGAATTTTTTATTATTATTATTTTTTTTCCCCGCAGCCGAACGTGACGTCAATCGCGTACACAGGCGAGATTTCGTTAATAAAAAAAAAAAAAAAAATAAATATATTTATATATAAAATGTACACACACACACGCGCGAGTATAAGGAGTATATATTATAGAGAAGGAATATTGACAATTGATTAGCGCGATTTATATTATTGGTCTCGTGATCGAAATTTGTATGCGTTATTATTATACACGGTTGTTATTTTATCGAATTGATGACGCTCCGTGACGAACGACGAACGACGGTTATGGTCGACGCGAACCGATAGCAATACTATTATCGTACGATACGAAATACTACGCGCGGATATTATTCGAGAGAATCGATTTAGAGAGAAAAAAAAAATGTACACTAAAAACTTGACAAACACTCTAAATAATACACTAACACTAAACAATTAATTAATTATTTTTTTATTGTCCCCGCAATTTACGTGAACACTTTTGTGTTTTGCGATGAACAGTTCGAGAGTTATTGGTCAAACTAGACTATTTCATCAGCGCGTGTGAATTTTAACAATGCGAATGGAAAAAAAAAACATTTTTTTTTTTTTTGTTTTTCTAAATAAAACGATATTAATTATATACTTTCGGCCGCATGAAGTAACGTTCGGATTGTTGTAATGTTCCAAAATATAAAAAAATAATAATAACAATCTAATGGTATTATAGACAATTAATATTATTTCCATAAATAAAACATTAAACACAGTGGGATGAAACCCATTTCTAGCGTACATAAATTAGTTACTCTAAAACTATATTACATAAGATTGTGCGAGACATCAAACCTATCGCTTTTAAGGACGCTGAATCCAAATTTTGCATTTATTTTGTAACTGGTATGGTCTCTTTATAGGAGCCCATATGGGCAATGTGGAAGAGGTACCCGAATTTGAAGCCGATTAGAATTTTTTCAAAGAATTTATTTACGTTTCTATTACTTGTAGCCCGTTTCTTTTTTTTTCTTTTTTTTTTTTTTGATAAAACAACGAAAAAACTTAATATTTTATCATTAACAATTGTCTCGTATTCTCAATCCCATTTATCACTTTCATACTCAATTTTAATTAAATCCAGTAATGATGAGATAATCATTAAATCCTCCATGACTTGTAACGGCCAAAATAAATATCGTTTTAAAATACCTACCACGTTATATTTATAATTGAATGTATACAAACCTTCAAATTCTTGATCCATTGCACAAAAAGTTTGAAAAGTAACATGCATTTCAGTTTTCGTACAAATATACGACAATATTACGTAGACTGGTCAAATCATTGCAATATTGATCACTTTGAAGTAGAATAACCGTAGTATTATAGAATATACTTTATCACCTGTACCTGCGGCGCGGCGATAACGATTATTAATAAATATAATAGGCCGGAATCTTATGGTATGAAGCAATCAGTTCAGTGACCCGTCTGCCGTGCGCGCTTCGTGAATATTTTAATAAAAGCCTCTGAAATTCAGTGAGGCCGATGGATGCAAACAGATTCTAGTTCATTTTGAAAGTGTGGACATTATTTTTAAATTGACATAGATCTGATAGTGTTAAATTTAATTCACAGCCTATTGAAAATGTAGTTTGTATAATTTTTATAATTTATAATTATTTAATTCTGGAAAAAAAAAAAAAAATACAAACATAATTTATACACAAAAATATGTTTGAATTTCGTAAATATGTAATTAAATTAACATATAGTAACATTAAACTAAATTGCAGTGGGATAAAATCATAAAAATAAACTTCAAGGTTGTTTATTATCGAATTAAATACTAAGCAAATTTATATAATATTAAGTGGCGTAATTCGTGGGTATGTTACTTTGAATTATTATCGAGACTAGAAATATATCACAAATGTAGCAGGTAAAAATAATTTATGACGATCGACGCATAGGAAACATAGTAAAACTTGACTTTTGACTAGCTAGGAATGAGTTTCGTCCCACTGTGCCATTATAGCGATTATAATTTTCTAATAATAAAAGCAAAATATATATATTTTTTTTAAAATAAATCCTTTTCTTTGAGGTTATTTTGCAAATCGTGTCTGTGCTGCGTTATAATTGTGCAACAATACTCACGATTGTTCGGACTTGGTTGCGTTATTTAACATAGTGTTAATGTATGCATGCAATAGTTAATGACGTATTATTACGATTTGATTAGTAAAATTATACGTTTTCAATGCCGAATAGTTTTATAATACTATTCATCTTATTTGTATTTATTTATTTTTATTGTAGATTCTGTAGAGAGCGAAAAAACTCTCTATGATTTTACAAAGATGTTTATTTATTTACATTTTTTTTTTTTATGTGAACACATTTTCTACCAGAAAGCTTACTCCGATATACACGATGTAGACCTTTTTCTGAAATGAAATTTTCTTAGGGTGATACTTAAGGGAGATAATTTTTTCGATTTTTCCGGCAGTTTTCCCAACAAAAAAGAAAAAGTGAGAAAAACCGGGAAAGTGTACGAAATACTCGTATTTCAGTAAAATATCATGGTTTTTTTTTTTTTCTGTGGACAACTTTTCTACAATTCTAGCAGTTTTGCTCCGATTTACATTGATAGTACTTTTTCTAAAAGAAAATCTGATTGGAGAGGTAATTTAATGATTTTATTTTTCGATTTTTCCCAGAAGTTTACTCAATAAATGGTAAAACCCGGGGGAAAACGGGAAAATAAGTTTAATATTAAACAAATTATACAATATTACACAAATATTATTAAAGAAAATGTTTAATATGTAATTATTTCACCATAACATAACATATTATTTATTGTTGAAAAAACATGGCTATCAACTGAACTCCACTCAGAACCGTTTTTTCGTTAGCAATGGTTATTTGTTGCTTAGAGATATACATTACATTTTTTTTTTTTTTTTTTTTTTTTTTTTTTTTTTTGTATGACGACCGATTGAGAGGCGAGAGATTCGTAGTCCCTTTGTTATAGCCGTTATCTCCCTCCCATCTCGGGCACGTCGCATGATCGATAACGGACCCGCTCGGTTTGCGGACTGATTTTATTTAATATTAAAATATAATTTATCCGGCTATAATATAATATTTTAAATCGGCTTGTTTAACTTCGAATCTCAATTAATCGTAATACGTTATACTCGAACATTATAAAATACCTACATAATACATTCTCGGAATTCGGTTTCTGAATAAAGTGTCAATTAATTATTTAAAAAAAAAAAATAAAAAAAAAAAAAAACGAACGAGCGGCGTCTTCGCTGTTGAATAAACACACTGTATTTGTATATCACATTATACGGTGCAGCGATACTGCGAAGCACTCGACACTTCAATTATTGAACTTTCAGTTCAAATGATCGCGTCTTGAGTGTTATATTATCGCGGAGATTATAATTCCTCAGTTTATATCGTACGGATTCAACGCTCTGCATAATACGATTTATATATAGTAACCGTCGGCCGATAGATTTTTAAATTTAATACAAACTGATGCGTTGTTTTTTTTTTTTTTTTTTTCAGTGAATTCGGTATTAGTCAATACGAACGTTTTGTTTTGTTTTTTCGTTTTCTGTCCTAAATACGTTGACAACATTATTGTGGATTCTTGATTGTCATCAAACACTACGTGCTTATGTGATGACGGTCGTTGTTATAACTGTTTTAGATTGGCACGTACATTTACGGAATGAAAAAAAAAAAACCAGAACAATAAATTAAAAATAAGGAACGATTATCCGTAATCAAAAACCGTTTCAACGTATATACACAGCCGTAACATAGTGCATCACATAATTTCATAGTAATATAATTAAACAATTGAACTAAAAAACGTATTATTATTTTATTTTTTTTACGCAGTTTTTAACACGGAAAATCGAGAAACGGAAAGATTAAATTCACCGAAGTCGTCAGCGAACGATTCGTTAAGCTTATTTCAAATATTTTTAGTAACGTCGTTTTTCAAATGATGTGACAATTTAATGAAACCATAATATTAAAGATGCGGTGCTATAGGGCAATGCTCAAATAAAGCCGCAGGGATACGGTGACCGACAAAGAAATGTTGGAAAAAAATACCAGAAGGAAGAGCTGTATGGAAAATGATCAAGAAGAGAAGAAATTATACATATATTGGACATGGATACTGGGGCAGAGTGGATTGTTTGGATTACAATGAAAGAATGTGTTGGAGGTAAAAATTACAGAGGAAGAGGAAAAATTACAAATTGTGTAATTCGTATGAATAAATTAGAGGAAAGCAAATTAGAGTGAAGGATTGTTGTAAACAAATTTTAGGGTAAATAGAAAAGAAGTTGAAGAAAATCGAAATTATTTAAATACAGATGACGTAGATAAATATAGATAGTTGAGTATACATAAATATTCGTATTATTATTTTTTTAAACAAGAATGTTGTTTAGTTTATGATTCTGAACGAAGCGAGGAACTTATTGGTTTTGCTATGATGTGTGTTTTTTTCTATGTTTGTATACGACTTTTTACCGGAAGTCGTGCTCAAATCGAAAATCGTATGAGAACTTTATTGTAGCATTTTTTTTTTTTTTTATCTAGTAGATGCATTTTTTGATAAACCTTATAAGGTTAGTCCGTTTAATAAACAAGAAACTTGCAATTTATTATATCATTTTTGTGTTATTTCTGGGTTACTCTGGCTACAAGGGAAAAGATAAGACGAATAATACGCTGTTCAAAATCGTTTTTCATCAAAAATGTTTTATTGTTAGGTACAGATTTAAATTAAATTATCTTCCAACTTCCCTTCTAAAACAGATGGACACCCGTAGACAGTTTCAGCATTTTCGTTTCGTTTATTTTTTTTTCTTTGCTATAGAATATTATTTGTTTGGAAACCAATAGTATTCAAACAAAATACGGATTTCAAGAATCGGGAACAAATATAGTACCTACGCATTAACGCAACGAGCTATCAATACGTAACTGTTACGCGATAGCTTCTTGTACTGTTGTCAAGTGCTCTACCTACTCTAAATTGCGTTATACCGACAACTGTTTGAAATTTAAATAAGTGAATAATTTAACTGTACAAGGCAAATATAATACGGTAAACAAATAATAACAGTATTATCTGTAACATATTATCATAATAATGTAAATAAATAAAAACCTTATCAATATAACCCATAATTGTTCCACAAAATAAACAATAGTCATTGTTTTTTTTTTTTTTTTTTTTTTTTTCTAATCAAATGGTACAAAACGCGCGTAATTGTTGACTGATAGTCAATAATAATAATTTAACATAAATTATTCGGGTTTTTATCGCACTAGCGAACATACGTATATTTGTAATTAATTTTTTCCTAGTCGTTTTTCTCGAGTCTTTTTTTTTTAATTTTTCCGTCAACGAAATCGCACGTAGATAATTTGTTATTAGCGTACGTTCGGTCGTTAAAAAAATTTACCGAACCGTTCTACAGGCACACCCATTCTATAGTTTATGTTATTGTATTCAAATGTCCAGAGACATTTGCCACTATAACACATACGTCGTACTATACACATTTCGGGCACACTGAAAGTTTTAAAAATTCCAAAATACCACCGTTTACGCGCACGTATTATTATTGTTTTGTACCCGAAATCCCGTAATCGTTTGGGTAATAATTGAGACGCGGAACGGGCAAAGTTTTCGGGACGGGAGCTATATCGTTCAAGACAAAGAGAACAATAATTATTATTATTGTCGATATCGCCGTTGACGCTACATCATTATTATTATACTAATCAGTGAACGGCTCGATTGCGCCATAGCCGGTGGGCATATTAATATAATTGTACGTATACAGAGCGATTCATTTATCGCGGACCAGCGATTACCAAATATACAGCCGCATACGCGCAACTAAACCTCGACATTTCGAGAAAGAGGATTAAAATCGCGTATAGCATTATAAATCAATTTCTTAATGATATTTCTAAACAATGATAATGATGATTTTTTACATAAATATCTTAAATAAAATAATACATCATTATCTATATAATAACTTATAAGCCGGTGCCGGGACTTAAAGCACTAAAATAAGCATAGAAAAATCGAAAAAATATTTATTATTATTATTCAATTATTAGATCCTTCACCTACGCAAAAATCATAACGATGCGAGTCGCAAACGACAAAAACGTACGATTGAATTAATTTGTTTCGTTCGATTGGTTGTTTTGTTTGATTTCATTGATCGGTCGAAATGTATAATATATTGATTAAAATTTAAAGAATTTATCAAAATGTACAAAAAAAAAAAAAAAAACATACAGAAAAGCGAAAAAAATAAGCATTTCATTTGCGAAATATATAAAATATTCAAAAATATGCGCATTCAAATTTCAGATTTGATATCGCGGGAACAAGAAATGAATCGCTACAATGATAATAAGCAACTCGGTTACTTTATAGTTTTAATTTTTAATCTATTTATTAAAATATTTTAGATTCTGAGAGGAGCGAGGAATGTATTGGTTTTACAATGATGTTAATAATTTTGTTTTTTAAGTGAATGCCTTTCCTACCAGAAAACCCTCTCCGATAATCAAGTATAGCACCTTTTCTGAAAGGAATTATTTTCCGGGTGATACTTCGAAGACGTATTTTTTTTAAATTCTCATTAATATTCGAGATAATGAGGAAAACCTGGTTCTTCAGGTTGAAGAAAATTGAAAGATTAAACATAAGGTTGTCATTGGCAATTGTTTTTGTTTATTTTTTGTTATAATTAAATTTTTTTTTTTTAAAACAACTATTGTTGCCGTGGAAATGCATACTGTTGAAAAAACAATACTACAGAGTCTATTAAAGGGTTTATTACAATAGTATTTCAATATGGCTTGATATCTATATAGTCCATACCTAACTACAACAGTGGCTGCGCCTACGTGCGAAATATGTCCGTCTTTTTTTCAATATTTAACGGTGAAAAAAATGAATACGATAGTGTGTAACTGTTTTAAGTCCGTATAATTAATAAAGTTATTTATTAGGACGGTTTAAATGAATATTTGATGATGCTAAGGACCTCCAAGCCTGTCCCCCCCTGACTCCACCTATGTATAATATAGGTACTAATAGATTTCGTGTATACGTTCGATTTACTTTTCTTTCGAATACTCAATATTATTATCATAGAATCTCATTATTCGAGATATTTTCCGTAAAAATGTTTCTCTTATTCCGCACATATAAACGCATTTTATCTGTACTATACGAGTGTAATGATTTTCACATAGAGCGACCCGTATTAGTCAACTCGTCGAATAAATAGAAGCTGTACGTGCGAAAATCGATAGTCGATAATAATATCATGACGACGGTATCCGCGGCACCCACGGGATAAGGGTGAGGTTTTGAAAATATCGCAAGCAAACAATGAGAGCGTTAAACGGTTCCACATAAATTATGTTAGGTATGTACGTATTAGCTGTGCCGCCCAGCGTTTTCTGTGCCAATTTAATTTATCTTTTTTTTTTTTTTTGAAAAACCCTTTCGAAAATCGAAATCAATCATAGAAATTCGATGTTTAACGCTATGTCGTCCCCGTCCCGCGTTTCGTCGTATCCGTTTCTCCGCGGGTGACATCACGGACATAATACGATTTTCCATTATTATTATATGTGAAATCCGTGTCACCGATAAGATATTATATAACCTATAAATCGACATAAATAATTAGATTTTCGTTCCGAAAAACCCTTTCGGGGTCGAATTTCGGAAGTCCGGCCTCGAAGTGCACCGAACGGAACAGTAGCTCTCCCCGCCCCCCGCCCGCCTCAGTGTGATATGTAAGGGTGTACGTTCCAAAATGCAGCGACGTTCAATCAAAATGATAGTAGGTACACATTCCGAAACTCAAAAGTACATAATACGACCTTGTTCCGAAAACGCACGTTGCCAACCGAATTTCCCCCGCAATTTCGCCGGTGTTCCGGACGTGTGTTCCGATTCGCAGCGATTTAAACGTACACGCTGATTCGGCGTGATAAAAACCTCGCGTTTCGGTCGAGTGACACCGACGTTCCGGGGCCCGCGACGCTCAAAGCGTCGAGGGGATCGGACACCGATATCTCCCGTCTGCGCAACGCAATAATTACTCGGGTGGCGAATAACCCAATACGGGAACCTGATAATCGTCACCGTTCGGGTCCGGCGTGAAATTCCCCGCGAAATCAACACGCGAACCGAGAATGTCCGGCGTTTACTCGGCGCGGACGCCGTCCGGTTGTCGAACCGCGATTGCGATTGTGGCGTTGCCGATGATCGGCCGGCGTTTACGACGTTACGCGGAAGCAACCGATTCATTCGATAACCGTTATTGCCCGTACGGAACACGTACAAAATATAATACTGTCTTATCGCTTAGTGTCGCGTGACGTCGGCCGCGATTAATTCTAATAAACAAACTTGACCCGATTTTTTTTTGTTTCTCCGTCACAACGCAATAATAATGTAGATGCCGATCGAATTACCGACCTACAATGTTACGATCGGTAATAAACGGTTTAACATCGTCGCGCGGTGGTTCTCCATCCGCGGGCTCCTCGTAACCGAGTAACCCACAGATAATGCGATGTACACGAACAGGACACCGGGCGATTCGGCGTGCGCCCGAGGCGAATAAATGTTACCGCAACGGTCATATCCAGGTTATCGCACCTATGGCAACGTCAATAGCGATAAGTAATTAGTGATTACACCGCAATTTACAAAGTGAAAAACGCATTCGTATTTTATCGGTAAAATTCCGTTAAATTTAAATTGAATAAATAATAGTTATTGTAATTGTTTCAGAAGTCGTTAAGAAAAATATTGAAAAAAAAAAAACCCCTATCATAAACCACTACTATAACCACAAGCAACCAGTGTGGTAAAATATTTTCTCTTCGGAAACTGTCCGTGTACACTATAACACTATACCGAGTGATCCATTTGGGCGGATTACACTCATTATCTCGGAAAGTATTAACATTTTTCGGAATTTTTTTTCTAGAATAGAATATAAGGAAACACTTAAACGGACCGCCTGGTGTTGTCTACGGAGTAACCTTTCACGTCGTCGTCGTCCGAATACTATTAAAATGCCAATTGACATAATCGTTTTCGTCGTTTGACTCGCCAACTCGCCGACGGGATCCCGGGCGTCGCGCGACAGTCGGCGTAACTATAATATCGTTGTTGTCACGGTCGCCGCGAATTTCGCAACTGTCGTGACAGTACGGTAAGTGTGTATAATACGACCGGCCGAACAATAACATCAACAACAGCGCCGTATTATATATCGTTATTGTAATATTTATATTTATACGAACAATGACGGATAATCAGCATAACACGAGCTATAAGGATTTACCCCCTTCGGTGCAGCCATCGTCGCGTTGTTGCCGGTGTGTGTACCGTCGTCGTCGTCGTCGTCGTCGTAATTCTCAAAGCGTTTTTTGTTTATTCACAAGCCGGTTAATGGGAGCCATTGAATGCGCTGCCGCCGCTATACGGAGACTGTACGGATAATATGGTCGGGTTTTTTTATTTCTTTTTTTTTTCTTTTTATTTACTCGGCTCTACAGGGTCACGGAACTTTTTTGTGTCGCCGCGTCCCGATTTGCATTTGTTTTTTATTCCGTTCCTTATGTATTTATCTACACCTACCTATAATACTTTGCGCCGTACTGGTACACAGCTGGTTACTGGATACCACCTACAACGGCTCCGCTGACGCACGGCTACGTTTATTATTATAATAATACGCGTTCTATTATACTGTGGTTGTACACCTATAATGCTCGTTGAAACGAAATTCATTGACTTTCCCGGTCACTACCGTGACGTAGTAAATAATATAACGGCGACGCTCGGAAACGCGGCCTTTCCGTTTAAAAACAATTATCGATTAACCATTTTAGCGCGGTTTAAATATATAAGTACCCTAGTGTGCGCGCCAACTGTGTTCGGGATTCAGCGGAGGAAAGAAAAAACCGCTCGTCGGTAGCGAATTACGGTTCTGAGCGGAGTTCGGTTTAAACGTTTTTGATAAATTTACAATACTGTGTATTCGTTTTTTACTACCGTGATCACATTAATATTTGTTTTTGTTTTTTTTTTTTTTAAAAAACAGAATTGATTAATAAAATCCGGAAGGTAGGATAATATAAGTTATTTACGCCCGAAAACAATGATAAATCGTTGCTGACGAAATACGATTCTGCGCGAAGTTCGGTTAAATGTGTTTTTAAAGCCGCGTTATGTTTACGGTTTTCGTCGAAATGTGTTGACTTTAAACGCGTATAAACGAAAAACCACTACAAAACCCTCAACATTTCCTTTTTGACCGTCAAATAAAACCTACGGTGTGTCTCAAGTAAAATGTGCACACATTTCTGCAAAGCCAAAACAGTTTTGATATCGAATAAAAACTAAAAAAAAAAAAACCACGAAATGTCTTCATTTTGGGAGAAATATGAGATCATTATAATTACTGATTTCATGTGACCGGATCTTGAGGTTTATTAATTTCTATCAACGCGTAATTATTCTAAGTAATGGTTAACGATGCGATATAGGTATACGTAGTATGTTTGTAAACGCGGGACATCGAAATGTTCGAATGCGCATTTGGGAACGTGCCGTTAGTTTTCGCCTCGCGAAATAAGACGTTGCTAGGGAAACTATCGTTACTTAGTTTCCTGCACGCATCCCCCCTCGCGACGGAAATTTGTT